TGCATGTGTGCATCTGTCTGGCCAAGAATACAGCTGGGCAGCCTGGAGAGCACCTCCTTGCAGGTAAGTCTATGGGGGGGGAGGCAGATTGAGGCCCCCACAGTCGGGGAGAGAGTGGGGCAGGGACTGGGGGTGCTGCCTAGCCAGGTTGGTTCATGGGACTGGGGCGTGGAGCAGGACAGCCGCAAATGGCTTGTGCAGGGGGTGTTGGGCCGTGGGGGGGGGAGAGGGTTCCCTGCCACTGCATGTACCTGCTGGGGGGCACATGTCCACCCTGATTTATGTGTAGGATGGGGACATATTTTAAGACAACTCTCCAAATACTTATAGAATCTATAAATGTAAAATCATAACGTTTTTAATTTTCCATTTATAGAATCGTGAATTCAGGTTACAATTAAGTAAACTCCATGTACCCATAACACATTTTAGTAAAACTGTAGTATCTAAACTTTGTGCATTAATTTTCTATCAGCTGTTTTTGTTTTATTCAAAAAACAATTTGAGTTGGAGGGAGGATAAATGTCCATAAAGGACACTGACAGATGTGGAAGGAAAAAAAACAAACCAACACTTTACTGAAAGAGGCATCACATCAGTTTGACCCGCCTTCCCAGCATCTGTATAGCTTGTGCACTTCAAGCAGGGTTTTTTTGCCATTTTTATCTAATAGTTGATTCAAACAGCTATTAGATTAAGAGTGCCAAAAAGCCTTGCTGAAGCATGTGAGCTATACAGATGATGGGCAAGCTGGGTCATACTGACACAATGCCTCTTCTGGGTGTGCACTGTGCTTGGCATGGGGGTGTACAGAGCTGAAAGTAAAGTGGCTATTTCTTTGGGATTTTTTTCCCCCCATGACTGTAAGCAGCCTTAAAGTCTAACCTACCTCATGGTAGTATCATTTAGACTCACCAGCATTTTTGTACATATTCTTTCTTCTTTGCAAATTAAAATGTAATTGTTTTTCTTATTTTAGGCTGTTGAAGAAGCATTTGTCCCTGTTATCAAACTGTGCTTTGATGGAATTGAGGTAAGGGTTAGCCAGTTTGCTTTCCCGACTATTGTTAAAATATTAACAACACTATTGTACAACTATTCTGGAATCATCTCTTTTGTATAACAGTTGGGTATTATATTCTTAGACTTGTCAGCAAGGAATCTTGAAGTACCTTACAAAGGAGGTTGGTATCATTTGCATTTTAGAAAGGGAGAAACAGGCTCAGCTATGACATGACTTACTTAGGTTTATCCAGCAAATTAGTGGCCCATTTCAAGAGTGAAGCAAGAGGTATAGTCGTGGGCTTTAGCTACTAAACAACATTGCCGCCCAGTCTTACTGTAATTGAATTATGCTTGAATCAGTGAAAAAATTGGGCACTCCATATAATTTCTTTTTACATGGAGGCCCAATTTTTTTCCTTTGATTCAAGTGTAATTCAGTTATATAAACATAGTATATCAGTGAAGTTGCCTGTTGAATGATGCAGCTATTGGAACTCTGCAGATCAGTAAACTGTTGTGACCTTTTAATGGTCACTGGCAAAAACTAACATTTGTCCAGAAACAAACTCAAAATTTGTTTTAAAGCAATGTTATGATGGAGAACAGAGATGTAACTGGTAGAGTTCATGCTCTGGGCAGCAGAAGTATGTAGGGTTTGCACCCTCAGATGCTTGGATGGAGGCAGGTGGTGTCAGGGCTCTGGCTGTCTGGTGGGCACATGATCCTGGCCTGAAGGAAGGTGTCCCTGCCAACATCAAAGTTTAACCCTTCCCTAGGCCTACAGCCACTATAGATTTATATCTAGATCGATGATGCAGAGCTGTTAATTTAGTAGTGGCTGCAGCAGCAGCAGCTAGCTCCTTAGCATGGGAGGGCAGGGCCCTGCTAGATTTTTTTTTTTTTTTCCCCCCCCCCCCTTCCTTCTGCAGCCTCGAGTGCCCTTGCCTCCTTGCTAGCAGCCCCCTTTTACTGAACTCCTGTGGTTTCTGCCCCAGTCACCCACCCTTAGTTACACTTCTGTGGAAGAAGTCATGTGGCTTTTTCATCTGTACTAATTAAAACAAATGTGTTGCTGACAGAAAATCTAGTAGTTCCTTTGATCCCAGTATATTCAAACTCCTGATAACATCTGCCACCAGGCCCTTCTGCCCTTGGTTTCACCTGCAGTAACCTAATGCTGTGGGATTAGACATATTTGTCCCTTCCCCTTGACAGAGAGGATGTGTATTGTGTGAGTGGCAGAATTATTCTCTCTCCAGCACGATTCTTCACTTATTTTGAAGTGTCCTATTCTCCAGGGTATTAGCTTGAAATTTCCTATAAAACAGCAGTGTAATCCAGACTTTCTTTTAAACTAAAATATAATTAAAAATGGCTTGCTTAACATAGATGATAATACCTTAAAGTGCAAATAAAGCCACGTTAAGAGAAAATAGAAAAATCAATAGTTTATCTTTGGAAAGCAGCCTTCTCACTTTTTATAATCAGCCTGTTGCTTTCTGTTGCTGATAAGATACCAGTTTACTGGGATCTGCAGATTTGTTATCAGATTCTTTCAACTGAATTGGGTAAATCCAAGGCCAGGTGATTTAAGGAATACTGAGCCATTAGCACAGAAATACATCCCCACATTTAATTCTTTTGAACCATGACACTGTTTCTATAACTTAGTTTAGCCTTGGAACATGCTCCCTTTATTCCTTCTAGCAGGTTATTTGGGTTTTTTTGTTTGTTTTTTTTATTGTACGAGTTGGAGAGGGTGCAGGGGGAGTGATCCCAACTTGAGAGAAGAATCCTCCTTTTGCATCTAGGAAAATTTCATGTCTGCTTTAGGAGTTGAGTAGCAGATCCCTGCCCCACAACTGTAACTGTTGCTCTAAGGTGTGGCTGGTATTGCACTTTCTGTTCTTTTACAGGTGACTTAATGTGTGTTATGTGAAAGAGGTAGACCACTGGTTCCCAACCTTTTTTAGACCACAGACCAGCATACTGCAGACTGGCAGCCAACCCTTTTTTATACTCTTTATGCTCACTTTTATACTTTGCCAGTTCACAGTATGCTGGTTAGGGGTGTGTGAAGTGGACACTATTCGGTTTGGATTCGGCCTGATTCAGGGGATTTGATTCGCTGATTTGAAACTCTGTCCTGATTCGATTTGGCCAAATCTGAATATTCAGTTCTGATTCTGAGAATCAGTGATACAGCCATAGACACAGCTTTATATGTTTTTTTCTATTAACCTTGAGGTACCAGGCATGGCTTCTGAATGCTGAGATGGTGGGGCAGATGGAGCATCTCATGGGAGTGTTGTGGGGGACGGGGGGTCACCTGCATGCTCGGTGTGGACTGGAAGCTGTGTCTACAGCCAAATCATCAAATGTCTCTGAATTGATTCAGAGGCTTCTGATTTGATTCAGAGAGATTAATGGGTCTCCTGATTCGATTTGGATTCGGCCACTGAATCAGGCCCAATCTCCTCCGAATCGAACAGGTGACTGAAGCTTCGCACACCCTTAATGCCAGTCACTTCTAGACTTCCAGTCTGGCAGCCAACCCTTTGCAGCCCGGGGGTTGGGAACCTCTGACGTCAGTTGTTTCTTCTTTAAAGTTTCTGTTTGTTTCTTTTTGCACTGACAGTTGTGCTGTCCAGAAGGTAGGTAGGCTGAAGTGCTCAATTTGTACAGACACTGGAGAGCCAAGTCAAACTGACACGCTTGCTCTGCCAGTGAAGTGCTTATTTTTCCCCTGTCCTCCCCACCCCAAATGGTCTGTCAGCAGCCTAAGTTTGAAAGGAGGCCTCTATATATAGGGATGATCCTAGATCACAGTTCAGTAAGACACTTGCTTGGAATACCAACAGGCCTCTGTTAAACATGGTTAAACTACACTTAGGGATAAAAGTAAATAGAGAAGGTACTCCTTTCATTTGTACTGGAAAAATATTTCTCACCAGCAAAACTTTTAAGTGAAAGGCCTTAGTTCTGTAGCCTAATAACGCCAGTGGAGCCTCTGGACTTCCTAATGAGATCAGTTTCCATGTTTATTTTGCCTTTTACTATGAAGATGTTTACAAAAGGGAAATTTCTTATTTCTTGATTTTATTTATTTTTTTTTAAATCTGTGAAAGAAAAAAGTAGAAAGCTATTTTATGTATGACTTCATTATGAAACAGTAATGTTCATAAATGTTTTTTTGAAATTTTTGTCCAGAGTTTAGTCCATGTCAGTTTCAAGCCTGAAAATCAAACTTAATTTAGTTGAAGGCAGAATTGAAAGCTTAATGCAACTATCAGTTTCTAGGAAGCCACTAGGAAAGACTTTTTTTTTCTTTAACATTATAATAGTGTAATGAGAATTTATTTTTAAAATATAGACTGTGTAATAGAAGTCTCCTTTGCATGGTAGATTGAGATATATCCTTTGTCTTTTCTTTTTCAAATTACTTTTGAATTGGAAACTTTAAAATAGATGCTTGAAACTTCCTTGCTTGTTCTTTGATAGTTTTTAAATGTCCTTAAACTGGCTGTAGGGCTCCATTGTCTGTCTTGCTCTTAGTGTGATAGTCTAAGGTATTTCATTTAAGCTAGGAGAAGCATGTTGTCAGGTATAATTAAAATTTAGCCTGGGCAAGTAAAACTCAGTGCTTGACTAACAAAATCCTAAGATGTTCTTTGTATCCTTGTCATATTAACTAGCATCTTCCATCTGAGGTTAAAAATACCAACTTGGCCTCCCAGTTTAGTTTCTTCTGAACATCATCAGTGAAATGGCAATAGTATCCTATACACAGCACTCAAAGTGTGTAGAGATGGATTTTGGTTCTGTCTTTGGAAGGACCTTTTAGAATAGTAGGATCTTAGGAAAGTAAGGTTGGAAGGGATTTTAAGAAGTAGTCTAGTCCATTTCCCTTTTCAAGGCAAGGTCTAAACTATTCCTGTTTTAAGTTTAGCTGTTATATATAGTGTAAATGGTCAAGTTGGCTAATTGTCAGTGCAAGAAATGGAAAAATTATGGCCAAAATTATTTCCTTTGCCCGTATCTATTTCAAATCCTTCCTGATCACCACTTACACACAGTTTGTTATGCAGTCCCTAGGTTTTATATTTTTAGATGCATACCATATTTGTAGTCCCTTATGCTGTTGGCATCTTGACATAGCTTGCCCCTGAAGGAAAGTCCAATAAGCTAATGCACTTTGACTTCATACTTTTAGTGTATCTTGTCAATATAGTCACAACTTTTATAATTTAAAACTCGTGCTCTACTACAGTGGGTACATGTAGAGCCACATTTGCCTGTTAAGTTGGAGTGCTTGATTTCCCCCTGTCCCCATGGAGCACCTGATATTTTTATTTTTATTTTTTGATGGCTTGCCAAGATTTTGGGCCTCGTCGTTTTCTCATCAGACACATTTAAGTCAAAGTGCTTCCCTTAGAAGTCATGGAGCTTCTGGAGGGGCTGGACGTGTTCCAGTCAGCGGGTCCGGATGCTCTCCACCCCAGGGTGTTGAGGGAGCTAGCTGGGGTTATTGCAGGGCCCCTGGCACGGCTCTATGAGCGATCGTGGTGCTTGGGCCAGGTGCCAGATGATTGGAAGGTAGCAAATGTGGTCCCCATCTTCAAGAAGGGGAAGAGGGA